GCCTTTGTAGAACTTCTGGACACTGATGCTTGCTTTTTTTTATTGTCATGATATTGGATTGTGTCTCACATAAACCACAAATCTTGTGACTGACCTCCTTATGTTGGTATCAGCTGCCCAATCAGAATCTGAAAAAGGCAGTAATTGATGAATCTGGTGAAGCTGAGTATGTTAAACCACATTGTATGGTACCTTGTACATATCTTAATATTCTTTTTACAAGAGTAAAATTATATTTGTTGGATCGGTCATATACTGGTGTGCTACATTTATAGCATATGATAGATCAAGTCTAGTAAAGGTTAGATATTGAAGTGCACCAACTAACTTTTGCACTCAGTAGGATCAGGTAATAATGTACCCTCAGATGCTAATAGTTGAGAATATGGCTTACATGAAGTTGTAGTTGGTTTCCAAGTATCCATCCCAACTTTGTGTATCAAGTCCTTTGCATACTTGGACTGATTAATGAAGATATCACCATTGTCTTTATACTGTATCTGCAATCCATGAAAATATGACAACTTTCCCATATCTTTTAACTCAAACACTCCACTGAGTTCTTGAAGAACAACTTGAACTTTGACAAAATTAGACCCTGTCAATATAATATCATCTACATATAAAATTAAAGCAATATAGCATCCTCTCCATCATGCTTGACAAATAAACTAGTATCAAACTGTGACATTTGGAATCCCATTACAGACCCTGTGAACTCTGCATTCCAGGCTCTTAGTGCCTGTTTCAAACCATACAGTGACTTCACCAGTTTACAAACATGATATGGATGTGTAGAGTCCACAAAACCCTGAGGTTGCTTCATGTATACCTCTTCTTCCATTTCTTCATACAAGAATGCATTTTTGATATCAAGTTCTCTCAATTCCCACTTGTGATGAGCTGCAAGTGAAATGATTAACTTGATTGTTGTATGCATTACAACTGGACTAAATGTCTCAAAATAGTCTAGGCGAAGTCTTGAGTGTACACTTGAGCCACTAAACGAGCCTTAAATCTTGAAATTGATCCATCAGGGTTCTTCTTCGACTTATATCAGGGTTCTTTTTCAGCTTATATCTTGAAATTGGTACTGATACCATGAAGAAGTTAAGGTTCCATCATAAAACCAATTGGTAATATGGAGAATAGCCCAACTACTTATAAGCACATGCAATGCCTATTCTCTCATCAATGTGGGATCCATTCTCAACACGTCCTCTCACGTGTGGCGAATTTTCAAGCCTAACACGTGAACAACACAACTCGGGTGACTTGGAGCACGTGTGGCCATTAGGCTTCACACGTGAGACATCCTATTTTGATACCATATTAACAGTACCAATTTTAACCAATACTGAGCTTAAGAATTGAACACAGAAAAAGAAACAAAAGCAAAGAGGGTGAAGGAGAATGAGAAGAAAGAGTATTAAGCTTCAATTGATGAGTAAGAAAGATTACTTTATATGCAGTAGCCATACACCTTGATTCTAACAAACTAACAAACTTCTTTAACAACCTAATAAATTCCTAACAAAGCTCCAACCAATCTAACTGCTCTATGATGACATGGACACTAGCCAATACAATTATGACACTTGTACAGTTTTCCATTTCTTCACTTATCAATATTGAGAAAATTGAAACCATATACATGAACAATTTTGTAAATCACCTTAAACCACAAAGGTGTAAAATATAATTGGGTAAATTACACTTTGCCCCCTTAAATTTTGGTTCAATTGTAACCTCATACATCATCTTTAAAACATTTTAATTTCATACATTTTTTATTATTTCATTTCAACGTCATACAACCGTCTCTTTTTCCGTTAGTCATTCTGTCAACTGCCTACGTGGCTGTAGCAGGTCTGACTTGTGGATAAAAAAGTTAATTCTTTATTCTTGTTTATACCATACTTGACCAATCCCGAAACTACTAAGCATCGGTCAACAGCATACCGTCAAGGACCCACAAGACTTTTCCTCCAACCAGGAGGCCAATCACAACATGACACATGTCGGTATCAGAAGCCAATCACAGCGCGACACGTGTCGATATCAGAAGCCAATCATAACACGACACGTGTCAATGTCAGAACGAAGCTAGAAACTCTCTTCTATAAAAAGGGATCATTCTCCCACAATAATCCCTAATGTCATTTGTACTAAACTATTCACTAGAACTCACAAAAAGAGAGCTTGAACCTATGTATTTGTGTAAACCCTTCACAACTAATGAGAACTCCTCTACTCCGTGGACGTAGCCAATTTGGGTGAACCACGTACATCTTGTGTTATTTGCTTCCCTGTCTCTATTCATTTACATACTTATCGACACTAATGACCAGAGCAACCTAGCGAAGGTCACAAACTTGACACTTTCTGTTGTACCAAAGTCCTCACCGATTTTGTGCATCAACAATTCTAATTAGAAATTCATCTAAAAAAATTGGAAAAATAATAAAACTTCCAAAACACCCAGAACTTCCTTTCTCTTCATGTTCTTCCATCGCCACTTGGTCTGTCATTGTCTTCATCTCCCAACCGAATGATGAAAACGTTGACGAGGATGAAAAAGAGGTCATGCCAACTTAAGGACCAGGAGTCCCAGCAGACGCTCGACCTCGAATTTGACGAATCCGCAATGGTATCTAGCCTCTGACGAAATGTAGAGTCGTCCAAAAGTCATCGAAGGTGAGCTCGAACTCGCGATTTTCATCGGCACTGAACCCATAGTCAAAATCCCCAAAACCCAGATTTCTTTGCACCTTCGATTTCGTTGCTGGCTGCATCTCGTGGTTTCGATTGAGGCCAATTCGAGGTTAGAGTGAAAGAAGGAGGAAGAGAAAGAGATGAAGGAGGTCACCGTGATTAGGTGGGAGGGCGGCAATGATGTGTAGGGGAGGGGCAATAAGTTCCATCTTCCCCTTTTTTTCTTCTGAGTAATCTATCTCATATCATATATATATATTATTTTTGGTTGATTTTGTGTTGAAAACAAATATGGGTTTTTTTTGGGGGGGGGGGGGGTGTGGTTGGGTTGTTTGATATTCTAGCTGCTGGTTGTTTTGGGGGTGGGTGGGTGGTTCGGGGGGTTCGGGGGTTGGGTTGCAGGTGAGGGGAGGAGGAGGTTGAAGGTGAATAGAAGTAGTGGCGGGGCCCATTATAAATGTTTAAAAATATTAACATAAAAATTATTTTTTTATTTTAAATTATTTTCTTGGGTAAATTACACAAAACTACCTCAACTATTAGGCCACTCACAGTTTCATACCCCATCTTTAAAAAATGTCAATTTCATATCTCATCCATGAATTTATTTCAATTTCATACCTTTCGTCAGTTGTCTGTCAATTCTTCCGTTAAATGCTGACGTGCCTTGAGGCGGGACCCACTTTCTATTAAAAATTTGATTTAATATTAAAAAAACTAAAATAAAATAAAAACCCAAAAAAAAAAAAAAAAAAAACCCACACCCAGATCCCCTCCCCCCCTCATGAAACTTCCAATCACTCTCTTACCTTCTCTCCACCGCGTCTCACCCAACCCTCTCTCATCCGATCCTACACCTAAATCTTCAAGTCAGTCTGCACCCATGGATTTCTTCAAGTCGGTCTTCTCCTATGACCCATTTCCGACAACCTGCACTCGGACGCCCAAAACGATGGTGTCGACCTGAACCCGAACTAGGAACCGAACTGCAATCCGCGTCCGAATTACAACATTGGGGAGTGGAGCTTCAGAGGTCTGATTTGCGACGAAGTCCGAGTCTGTCATCCAGAACTACTGCCACGATCTTGAGGAGTTTAGGTCTGGGTTGAAGAAGGAGGCGACAGTGATCCGGGAGGAGGCTTCACACGCCGTCAAGGATCTTCCTGGTTCGCTCGAGGTCAGCGCATCGGTGGCTCAGGATAAGAGATTAAGTAGCAGTCGGGTGGTGAAGATGGAGGAAGAGAGGCAGCGGTGAGGTAGTGAAGGAAGGTTTGGAGGGGGGACGGGTCGATAAGGAAGATTTGGGTGTGGGTTTTGTTTTTTTGTTTTTTTGTTTTTTTTGTTTTTTTTTAATTTTAATTTTTTAATATTTAGTTAATATTTAATTAACTTTTTTAAATATTTAATCAACTTTTTAATAGAAAGTGGGTCCTGCTTCAAGCCACGTCAGCATTTAACAGAGTAATTGACAGACAACTGACGGAATGTATGAAATTGTAATAAATTCATAGATGAGGTATGACATTGACATTTTTTAAAGATGGGTTATGAAACTATGACTGGCCCAATAGTTGAGGTAGTTTTGTGTAATTTACCTTATTTTCTTTCCTATGTGGCATGTTAGTGAAATCCACGTCAGCAAAAATGTGGGTTTTACAAATGCCACATCATTATTTAACTAGTCAAACTAACAGTTTGACTAACAAATAGATGAAATTGCAATAAAATTCAAATTTTTGTATGAAATTGAAATGTTTTAAAGATGATGTATGAGGTTGCAATTGCATCAAAACCTGAGGGGCAAAGTGTAATTTACCCAATATAATTAGTCCAAAAAACAATGATTAGCTAATATTAGTGCAGGAATCACTCTAAAACTAACTAAGTTGAATTACGATGATTGTAGTTGGAATTCACTTAGAACTTTAAACTTAGTAAGAGGAAGAGGAGGGAAAGCAATTTATATAGAACGTGTTCATTATCATATGTAGTTTTGTTCCAATAATTATAATAAAGACGTTATGGTAAATGTTGAATCCATTTCATGTAAGTTTTTTTAATAAGGAAGAAGGAGTGGTCACACTCTATATTGGATCATAAATAGTTAACATGCATCATAAACAGATTAGGTAATATGCAGCCAAAAGTACTCCCTCTCATATAACTCTGTCTAGTCTCAACTCAAATAGATAGTTAGCTAGATATCCTACAATAGTACCTGAATCGCATATGTTGTCCAATAAATCAAAACCCGGTTTTCCATAAAACCCACTTTTGCTTTCCAATCCCGGTCCCAGCATTCCTTGCCTGCCCTCGCCACTTCGTAACCCACTTTTTTTTAATCATTATACTTCCTTACCCCTCACCCCTTACCACTTACCTTACCCTCCTACCCCTCTTTCTCTCTCTCTAAATTTCTAGCTCTATATATGTTAGCGATTGAGGTATCGAGTGAAAGTATATAACCTATCTACAAAACAAGGAGTGGTTGAGAAAGAAGAAAGTGCAATTTGTAAAAGCTGCTGAGCTTGGTTTGTTCAAGGAAAGGAGGAGTTTCTTAATTCGGTGATAACTTCATCCAGGTGATCATAACTAAGCGACATGACGAGCTGCGTCGATGTTGCGACTGAGCAACTCTGTTACATCCCTTGCAACTTTTGCAGTATTGTTCTCGCGGTATCGATCTCTATCTATCTATCTATTCATACATATCTCTGATGTTTTCCTCTTTCTTATTTCTTTAATGGGAGATCTGCTTGTCAGTGATCTTCTCAAGACCCACTGCCTATCTTATTTCTTCCAAATATCCTTTTAGCATACATACAAGAAGAAAAAACAAAGCCGATCCTGAGAAATTGAAAAGCAGGCTTTGGTTGATTTGTGATCAGGGTTTGGTGTTATAATTTATTTCAGTGGTGAAATCGAATAGTACGCAATTTAATAGTTTTACAAACAGGGTTTCTTTTTTAATCGGCGAGCTAGGGTATATAGTCAGGTCTCCATCGTTGGACTTTACTTTTCCTTCTTTTGCAGTCAAAGAAAAGTCATACCTGAGAGAGGGGGAGAAATCTAGACTCTAGAGAGAGAGAGAGAGAGAGAAAGAGTGAGAGAGAGAGAGTTGATTGTTTAATTTGTGTTTTGTAGTTCTAAGTTAGTGGTGCTTCTTTTTAACGTAAGAAACATGAGGGTTTGAGGATAATCCACTGACGAAGACAAGACCTCCCTTTGATTTCCTCACTTTGTGACCTTTTTCGTTTCTAAAAACACTGCATCGTCTCGTCCAAACTCATTACCTTCTTTTATTTCTGATAACCTGATGGTGAAAACAGAAAATGAAGCTTTCTTCTGGCACTATCTATTGTGTTCTTTCCTAAGAAAACTCCCCTCGTAGCAATCAGCTGGAAAGGAACACACTTTTTCTTCTCCATCTTTGGGATTTCGAATCTCGCCTAATCTCCTTTATTATGTGTTTTTAAGGGGAAAAATTAGGGTTTAGTGCTTATAAATAATTTGTAATCAAATTTACGCCTTTTCATACAATTACCCCAAATAAATAATTCATATATTTTCAATCAAGCAGTACCCAATTCTTACTTTCTTCTTCTATTAATTTCTGAGAAATGCATTTTTGCATTTACTTTGATCCGTGTTACTCATGCAGTCCTGATGTGCAGCTTTTAAATCGGTGTATGATAATTTTTGGGTGTAGTTAACGAGCTGAGAAACATATAACTAAGATGATACATGCATTATAAACGGTCTCATGTAGTGTTGATGATTGTGTCTGCAGGTGAGTGTTCCATGCAGCAGCCTATTTGACATTGTGACCGTCCGATGCGGGCACTGCACCAATTTATGGTCCGTGAACATGGCCGCTGCCTTTCAGTCACTGTCCTGGCAAGATGTTCAGGTGTGCTTTTCGCCTATTTATTTATTGATTTATTTATTATTTAGTAATTCCAAGAAAATAATTAATCATTCAATTAAAAGACTTAATACAAGAACCGCCTCTGAAATCTAGGTCTAGCTTCTTCTTGGTGTTACTTCTTTTTTTAGGAAACCGAAGACTCGAGGATCTAACATAGATCGAGTATTTCAAAGCATTTTGCAGTAGTGCAGAAAACCCAATAGGTTGCTCAGACAGCAGCCGCCATAACCCACAACCCAATACCTAAATTTTTGCTTTATTAATAGATGGAGGTCACGGCCTGAACCCTCCTGACGAGAATTTTTTGTTTGTCTATCTGATCACACCATATTTAATATAATATGCGTAAACAATATAATTAATATATATTTTTATAATATTTAATGAAAGGCAGCTTATTAGTTTCGTAAAATGGTAACACCGATTTACAATTTTTATACACCAAAAATACCTCTCCCATCCAACCCTTAATCAGCATTTTATAGTCTCTTTTCTTTTGCTTGATTTGATTGACACGATTGAATGATAGGGTTCTTAGGTTCAATGGTTGTATTTTCCATCAACTTTGTCCTCTACTGTGCAAACACAAACCTTACAGAGTTATTTATTTCTTTTCAAACCAACTGTCAATCTGGGTTTTATATGCTTTATTTTATATGACAGTCTTAACTGATTCAGTCCTATCAATGCTGCTCTTCTTTTCGTGCTCCCCTCGCCCCCTTAATAAAAAACCGAGCCCGGCCACCTGGTAGGGTAGCTAACTAGCCTTATATTAATCGTAAAAAAATTAAAAAATAAAAAAAATACTAGACAAGCTAGTTATAAATAAAAAACTGGTTTCTTAGGTTTATTTAATTTCATGGTTGGTATTTAGAAGACATATATATTTGATGTTTTCAACTGTTGCAGTTTAACTAATGAATACTGTTCTTATAAAAAAGATTGATCTCCTTGTTTTTTTGTTATGCATTTATTTACTTTTAGGCACAAAACTACAACTATAACTCTCAGAATTACCGGATTGATTCGGGCTCCTCTTCCAAATGCAACAAGAAGAATGCAACCAAAGACCCAACTTCAGATCATGTCACTGAGGAAAGGGGTGTGAATCGACGTGAGTCATCAATTAATCATCCCATAATTTGTAAAACAAAAGATAATAATGCATATTATATATATGCCTCTCTTTTATTGCTAATGTGTTTATGTGTTTGCGTGCCTCTGTGTAGTCTAGTGTTGGCTGTTGCTATAATACGTACTGATAAAAATGGTCTGAGTTGTTATTTTCCTTTTCAGCTCCCGAGAAGAGGCAACGTGTACCTTCTGCATATAACCAGTTCATAAAGTAACTAAACCATTATAATTTATACCTAATGTTTTAAATTTTCTTTTCTTTTAATTTGCTTTGCTTATAATTAATTAAAAAGATGAGTATTGATTTATTACATTGATAGGGAGGAGATTCAAAGGATCAAGGCTAATAATCCAGATATTAGCCATAGAGAGGCTTTCAGCACTGCTGCCAAAAATGTAAGTGGACATGCATTTGCAAACTAAGTAGGATTATATCCCCTTCAAATTTTCTTCTCTTCAGTCCTCACCTATTTGAACGGTCACAATTAAGTCATATCAACATTTTGTGTTGATTTCTTTATAGAGAGAAAGACAAAGAGAAAAGTGAGAGAGAAGGGAAGGAGAAGAGATTTATAGTAGAGAGAATCCTACTCTACTAGTTATTTTTTAGATTATGTAAGCAATATTGATGAACTTGTTCTTTCTTTCTTTTTAATTAGTGGGCGCACTTCCCTCATATTCATTTTGGCCTGATGTTGGAGGCCAACAATCAGGCTAAGCTGGACAAGGTAAGTAATTAATTTCACTAATTTATGTGTTTCTAAACTATTTCCTTGGCCTAATTAATTTTTTTATTAAAATAAAAAATATTTATGTTGCAGGACCCTGAGAAACATCTTATGTCAAGGCCTGCACTACTGAATAACTGATGGCCACGATAATTTCAGGCAAAGACACTCGGTCATATCAAAATTGTTCTTCGTATACAGGAATTGCCTTGACTGATCTACTGGGTTGTTTCTTAAGGACATTTCAATATCCTTCTTCTTTGTACTTGTCAAGTCCCCCTTATTAGGGTTTCTATGTGACTTAAAATTAAGTAATACGCTACTTTGCTTAATTTAATTTGTCATCTTCATCAATCTTGATTTCCTAATGACACAATGACATTATATTAAATAAATTTCCCTTTTGTTAACTTGCTTCCTTATAATGACGAAGTCGATGTAATATATTCTCTTCTATATCAATAGGGAAATGAAAAACACACACCATTTTTAGCCTCTTACACATTCATATTTAATCTTGACCATTAATTTTATTTAATTTATTCAATTCAATGGCCAAAACTAAAAAGGAGTGTGTGAAAATCATTTCCCTATCAATATATTACTTGGTGTACAGTTTGGAACATGCAGAGCTGGTATATTTATGCAGAGTTAGTATATTTATGCAAAATTGTGACCACGTACTATAATGTATGTTTACGAAGTACATCAGTCCATTAATGGAAATGGATTTTATTAAACATCATACTTTTATTAAAACGTTATCATCATATTAACACGCTTAATTGTAGCCCGTGCATGGCATATATGGAGAACTAAGTATATATGTTAATCTGTTGGGTAGGCTTAGCCTATATATGTTTCTTGGTTAAGTTCAGGGTTAAATTTTAAAGCTTTTCACGTTCTACTATGGCTTCTTTTTCTTAAAAAAAAAAAAAAGCATTGACCTACAACTAAAGGGTAATTCTTGGAAGATTAATTATTTAGATCAATTTGGTAAATTATATGACATTGTTGTTGATGATTGGATTATTACTTAAGTATTGATTAACGTGTTTATTTCCTATTAGTAACACTCACATGATTTATAAATTTGGTTTAAAAAATTGATCTACTAACATTATTCACAAATAAAATGTGCAATTGGTCACACTCACTTCAGGAAAGAAAAAAAAAAGAAATAATAGTTTTAACAAGTTTAAGAATCCCATGTCCAAGATTTATAAACACATTCTCCAATCCTCCTCCTTGGTATAATGGTATATATCTCAAACTTACAATACAAAGAGGGTTTTACTCTTTTTTTTTTTTTTTTAGCTTGGCTTACAAACGAAAATGTGTAAACCTCATCAATTATTTATTCAAAACTAAACTCATCCATGTAAACTACTTCTTTCTTTTGAAGTGAACTTAAGGGCTTACTACAATTTACACTTCCAAAGGTGAGGTGATTTTCAAAATGGGAGTTGTTCTCTAAAGTTTTAAAATTGTATCAATTTACCTAATTACGAATTTCTTGCACACCATATTGTGAATTTAACAAAAATTCAAATAATTTATTAGACAAGATATATATTGCTACAGTTTCAAAACTTTAAGAAGAAATATGTGAGAAAATTGAAGTATAAAGGGTATATGATTAATTGTAGTTAGCCCTAAAAGTAATGATTATGTTTCACTGCAGCTAGACCTAATTGTTAGTCATCATCTGCAAAAACGGAAAAGGCGGATCCTTTTTCTGCGGACCCTCGCGGGATCATTTCTCTATGAATCTAAGAGATTTCGTAATCGTAATCGTTTATCATATATCGTGCGATCAGTTTTTGTTACGTATTATTTATATTTACTTTTAAATTTTGAAATGATTTCTGACCATACAATATACAATGAACGGTCGCGATTACTGGATCATTAAGATTCCCAAAAAAAGATCAGAATCCTTTTCCTGCAAAAACCACTTTATATCTATACAAACGCACACGTGTCCCTGTTGTACCCTTGGTTGAAGACACATGGTTTGAGAGTAAAATTCCATGGAAGGGAAAGGGTAAGTCTGCTAATATATACACACACACACACACATATATATACACACGCACATATATACCGCACATATATACAGCACACGCACACACCTGAAAGTTATTAATTCCAACCGTGCAGCAAGCATATCAACAAGCTAAAGCTACCAGGACTTTATATAATTTGTCCAAATTTCCTGCTGAATTATTGCATGTAATGTGATGATGGGGAAAGAGAAATTAAAAGGTATTATTTCCCTTCATTTTTTCTTCTTTCAAAATTAAAAGAAGGCAAATATCTAAGAAAAGCCATTGTCTGTCCAAGCATGGACTGCAACTCATAAATATCATGACCCTCTGTGAAAAGGAATTCATGGACCACCATTTTGGTTCTGAACCATTCCCATTTTTCTTTGATACCTCCAGGGGAATCCATTACAAAAGCACTAAAGATCAGGAAGCACTTTAAAAAAATTTCTTATTTAATTTCTTCAAGGAGTTGCTTCCAACTTTGATCTTATTTAGTCAATAATACTGAGTTTTATCTTTGAAAGTAGGAATTTTTATGTTCGTGGTAATTATACAGTTTGACACATGTGAAAAAACTTTTCTTTTTATATTTTTGATGAGTTATATTTGCAACCATTATTTGCACGGATGAAGAATGACTCGTTTGATAAGCTAGTTTTTGATACAAGCGACATTAAGGGGTTAGAGTTCGGACTAACTATAATTAAGTATCGAACTCGTCAATCATGAAAGTCGAACTTGAGATACCTCGTATTATAAGTGAAGAATAATGGTATTACTAGATTGTGTAGTGATACTGACGAGTCCAATTTAAGAAAATTTAGAAGAAGGGAGTGAAATATCTAGGGTTGGGGTGGTAGATATTGAGGAGGGGACCATTGGATGTCCTGCGGATCTTGAAGTGGGTTACGGTAGATTTCCACAAGCTGGCAAGTTTTCATTTTTCCTTTTTTTTTTTTTTTGGTAAAAGAAGGGAACGGGAAATATATATATATATATATATATATATATATAGTACAATATGGCGGAGCTGGTGGTGGTGGGGTGGGCAGAGTAATACGGCTGACAGGCTGCCGCTCAGCTCTGGCGCCCTCCCACATTTCTGACATTTAGAATCTGAAACGTCAATTTCATGCCTGTTAAGCATTCATCTCATTTCATTGTCATTTCACCTCTGACTTCCCCCCCCCTTCCCTTCCGCTCTCTCTCTCTCTCTCTCTCCCTCGTTTGGAATGTTGGTGTCCTCCGAAGGGAGGGGTTTCCAACCCTAATTTACGTGCCTCGGGGCCCCATACCATATCATGAGGTTCATGATGATCACGGAGGTGGGCCCCACAGGGTGAGTGACTGGCTGGTAAGCTGAAAATGATAGAGAGAGGAGAGAAGGCTAAAGACGACTAAAGTTTCTTCAATACAAAAAACCGAGGCAACATGTGATTCCTACGGCATCATGTTCTGTGTCTGGAATGCATTTGTTCATTACAATAAATTCTCCATCTCCCATTTGTCCAATGTGTGTGGTGACAAACTGTGACAAGTACGTTTGTCGGAAACCCTAGCATCACTCGTCCACACATACGAGAGTGAATGTGGATCGTTCATGCAGAGTGGGTTTCCCGCATCACCGGACCACAGTCGTTCACGAGCCACAACACAATTCATCACACATACGCAAGTGATTGTAGGTCGTTGATGTCAGTGAGTTTCTGAACGCATCAACAACCCACATGCACTCTTAAGCCAACCGATGCATGCTAGCATATATAACTTATCTTTATATGTAGGTAAGGTACACACAGTTGTGAGTCATGAGTGCTTCAATTCACCTACCATGTATGCATGTTGATTGTTCAATCATATCATAAAAGAAACAGGATGAGCGACGAAACGCAGGACCATTTGAAGGACATTCATCAATTACGCTGACTTTTGAAATTAAAACATCATACGACATTACGACTCTCTATGCTTCTGCAGAGGCTGATCCATGCGCTGGCTCTCTCACCACATCAAATAAAATGCCCTTCTACGTGTTGTAAAGTATATATTACAATTTACACTGCTGCGCGGTTCGAAAACTCTAATTAAGGACAGCAAATGTATAGCATATTGCTGAAATTAACAATCAGATACACGCTCGAGAATTGAAGAAAAATTTAGTCTACACCATTGAAAAGTTAATGTACCATGTACGTTAATTTATAGTAGGACTCATGGATTTCAAAACACCAATCGACTATCATGTTGGAGAGATTCTAACAGATAACCCGTTGCATATCCTTCTACTACTATCTCTCACATCACATGTTACGGGATAAGGAGATACTAATAGGGGCATACCACCTAACTCTTGGGCAAACAATAATACGCGACAGTAGTCACATTCAACCATGTTCTCATGCCTCCGAGCAACCATGGAGACGGCTTTGAAACCCTCCCGGCCCGACCGCCCTTTAATCCTCAGGTTTAACAATGGGGACGGGTATGGCGTCGTTTAGCTGTTGTGGTGGTTTGGGAAGAGAATTGATGCGGTGGATAACGAAGGAGGGCGAGGACGATGAGGCGGATGAATTAAGGTGCGAGTTGAGGAACGAATCGAGGTCGGGTTCCATGGTGAGTTGCGGTTTGAAGTGAAGAAGGTCGAGGAATGAAGCGAGGCTGCCACCGCTGTTGCTACTATAGAGGAGAGATGTACTTGAGGATTTACCATTCACAAATACAATAGGCAACCTAATTGGCCGGGCAATTATTGCCCTACGGTGTGGAAGTGCTCTAAAAGTAGTAAACATGTAGGGGTATAAGCAAACAAGGAAAATTAGCCAAAACCCACCAATTCATTCCCAATTGGACTATTTGAGTAAAGGGAAATTCAAACTCACTACTAAACTACTTGTCCTGCAATTTCACTCCAATTCCAAGGTAAAATGAGGCATGGGTTTAGGTACACAAAACCCTTGCGAAAATCTTAAACCTATACTCGAAAAGAAATGCTAATGTGCCTTCTTATTAGTTAATAACAGATGGCGTCTTTGCCTATTGAACCGAAAGACAACTTCGGCTCATCTGATCCAAAACTGAACTTAATATCTGAAGCATCGTTCTGAATTTCCGCACTTGTAGAAGGGAATGCAAACACAAGGGGATCTGACTTCTTGGATCCAAAATCGTAAGTAGGAACAGCGTATCCATCTTCATTGGACTGATGCTGACTGCTTGCCAGGAAAGTTGGTATAAAGGATGGTGTTGGTAGTTCAGAAAACACTTCAGACGATGCAGAGACAGGGAAACTGAAGCCAGAGCTACTACCAGAAGAAAACGTCCATTTTGATTCGGGCTTGTCAACGGATATAGAAGGAAACGCACGTTTAGCCCCTGAAGATTGAGATGCAGGCTTCTTTTGTTGATCTAGTACCTCAGAGCCAGATGAAGCAAACTTCGAAAAATCCTGCAAATTAGTTTAGTTAGATCTATTTCTGTTATGTTCGTATAGCTCTAGCAGACTAGCACCATAAGGCAATATTGCTTTTGAGACAATGGGTAAGGAATAAACACCTCATGTGTAATCGTGTTCAGAGATCTTCCATCCCTCCCATCACCAGCAGGGATATTGTTTGCAACAGCAGTGGCTTTTGTAGTGTTCTGCACAGGTGGAATCTTAAACAGAGAATTTCCCTTGTCAGCATTTTTCTGGTAATCTTGACTTATGAGCTTACGAGAATTGAACCCTCCTACAAGTGGTAAGCTATCATGTCCATTCTGGTTGACTGAAGAAACACCAGAAGACGGGGTTTTCTTCCATGCAAAGGCTAGCTTTAACTCTTCTGACTTCTCTTTAGGAGTGGGCGGGTTTCTATCAATGTGCTCCAAGATTGTCCTAGCAATATGACTAGACTCTGGATGAACACTTGGCACACCAAAGCTGGAAGACTTCCTGTGTGATGATTGCGTTTGGGAGTTCCCACTTAATCCTCCAAGTTCAAAATGCTTCGTGGCAGGCAAGAAGCCTTTGGTAGCACTGGAGTTCTCCACCCGTGAAGGCCCAAATGAAGAGGAACGGACATAAGGAGATCCTGTAGCAGGAGTTTGCACAGCAGATTTATGTCGTAACCTGCGAATTGGTCCAGCTGATCCAAAGCCACCATCCAATGTATCACCCCTTGGCTTCACCAATGCATTGAAACACAAAGACATAAACAACCAAGTTGAGGCCAAAAACATGATTATAAGAACGTCAATTATCATGCAAAATTACATATTAAACTCGATTATAAATGTATGCTGGATATCGAAAAACTATTTGCACACGTGCACTGGCAACTACAGCCACAAACACGTTCTGTGATGCCAAAATCTAACTTGAAATCAATTTCCTAATCAACAATACTTGTAATGTAACCATTGGCAATGATCACTGATATGTAAATTTACCTTCCCATATATAGGAGTATGCGATTGTTTCAATGGAGTAAATACAATTCTTGGGGCTTTGTCATTACCACCTTGTAATTGAGTTAACTGATGACATGCAATAAAGAAAAATTACCATCTAAAGCACAAAGTGTGTCTACGAGAATCAAAATGTCAGAAATCAAAACAAGTATCAAGACCTTTAACATACCTTGGATTTGGATTTTGAAAAGATAGTTCTAGAATAAGGAGTTCGAGGAAGATTATGAAGGCCAAATCTGCCTCTTTCAGTCTGTGGAGTTGAATAATCACGTTGATCCTGTACCATAGAACCAGGCCAGCATGCCGATGGTTTAGACAGTGTTGGAAGAAATGGTTTGGAAGAGAACTCATCGCCATGCAGTGTGGCCATTTCATCTTTTGACACTGCATTCTTAGACGAAGGATCAATTTCTGATGTTCTGCTTCCCATAAATGCTCTTGCAATATCAACAGGTGAAGCACCAACTTGATCTCGCATCTGAAAATTTTAAGAGAAATAATAGAGTCATCTAAGAATATAAGTGAACCACAATCCACAAATATTAAAAAGAAAAAAAAAAGAAAAAAAAAAGAAGAAAAATAATTCAGTGTATTAAAAAGTTAATACTTACCTGCCAAATATGTTGGTAACTTCTATAAGAAAAGAAAATAAAAAAATCCCTTTCACGGATATGCAGACTCAAACAGAATGAAAACAGATTGTGCAATTTCACAATTTCACATAAATGTAAATGCGTAACAGAATTGATTCTGCCTGATGACATGTCACAATAAACAGAGCAAGTTGATAGTGACACTCACAGCTGACTGTGGTAGAGGGGCTGAGGTTGCCCAAATAGCTTTATTCAAGTCTTCCTGCTTTTCTTCAGATGACTTCGGAATATCATCTGTAATTACAGGCCACTTGGCTTTTTCAGCAGCACTAAAGCTTTGTTTTTTCTTTTTGTGATCCACATTAGGAAGTTCAACAGCCCTCCTCGAATGTATAATTTCCATCAAGTGATTGACTTCATTCCTGGAGAAAGATGGAGTGCACTTAGAGAGGGCAAGAAAAGACTGGTAAGATAACGCATTTTAAGACCATGACTGAATGCATGGGTGTCCGCAGTGAATAAAATTCCAACCTGATCTTTAAATGGAAGAGAAACTTGAATTTCGGTCAATTATAGTGGTGGAATCTGATACACTGTTTTGATATCAGAAACAGGTTTCTCCATTATTCATTAATGCAATCTATGTGGGAAAGCAACCGCTTTATTCACACTTTTTCATATAAGAAACTACTTTATAAACATTAACAAGAAGCACTCATTTAAACCAAAACTAAGTTCCACCACTTTGACTCATTAGCATCTTAGTGGCAAACTATTAGAAAATCGATGTTTTATGCATAGCTATAATCATAAATGGAAGAAATACATCACATGCATGACTTGCCTAGAAAATTTTTTCCCCTTCAATAGCTGCTCAATTTCAGAAAGTCCAATATCCTCAGACTCAGACTGGTCACCCTTCTTATTCCCTTCAAATTCCGAACCACTTTTTAATCCATCGGCTGTTTTGCTAGGGCCTGCTATTTCAGTTATTATGGATATCCCATTCTGCAAAGATAAACGCCGAAGAAGAATTGAATATAAGAAATGATTTTGATGGCTGGGAAAAAATCATACACAATTAAAGACATAGCTATCCGTAGCTGTCAAGAAGACCACACAAAATAGTGAAAAACTAGGTATGTCTAAATCAGTCAGAAGATAATCTAAATTAATGGTACTTGATATTTACCACAAGAAGAAAAAACAAAGAGAAACTGAATCTTATACCTATCACCACATAACATAACAGATGAAAAGGTAATGAATCTGAATTCGAATGCTTGTTAATGCCACATAAACAAGATTTTGCATGAAAGAATCGCGTATATATGAAAACACAATCGCATGCGCAGCCCGACAAAATTACAACAGTTATACTAATGACCGAAACTAAAGCACAAAGTGACTTGAGAAACAGAAACTGAAGTTGCTACGTATACACAAAATACACCCCGTGTGGTATAACTGTTGTATTAAATGAAAAATGGCCTCACATTCAACTCGGAATTGTCCTCACGATCAGCGATAGCATTTTGTTCCGTCTCCATGTGCTGCTCATCTGCTCCAGAATAACTCATTGAGTTAAAATCCAAAGACTAATCCACAATGTTAACCAGTAATCAGTAAAAGGGTACTCAAAAACAACATAAAGTGACTACTAAATCCAATCAATTCAACAAAACCAAACCAAAGGAGCAATCCAATCAATGCATCAAAAAGCATAAAAAATCAATGCTTTTAGTCAATCCAATTACAAAGTAATAAACTTTATTTACCAAAACACCAATAAATTCCCAAAAAAGTAAGGAACAAAAAGTCCAAAACCCTAACAGGGAGAGAATTGGGGCTGACCGTGATGCTGGGCAATGGGCGGAGTTAGGGCATTGAGGGAATTCGATTTGGAGAAGAAAGAGGGGAAGAGCCGAGTGGCGCCTCCAGATATCAGCCGATAAGCCGGATCGACAATACCCGACAACCACCGCCGCGGTCCCCGCGCGGCTTGGTTCGAAGGCGGGCGGGAATACGGCGTCGTATTCGGCTTTCGAGACGGTGGCTTCCTCAGCTTCCCTCCCGCACCTCTCTCTCCGTACAGCCCTGCGGAACGCGCCGTTTCGGTGCCGGCCTCCATTCGTCTTTCTCTCTCTCTCACTATCTTCCTTGTTCCTCTCTGTGTGAGCTTGTGCTGGATCCGATGTGGAACTCTCGATTTTTGACTAGCACTGTTCTTCCCTTGTTCTTTGTGGACTCTCTGATGAGAAGCGGAAACTCGGAAACTTATTTTCTTTTTCTTTTTCTTTTTGGATTTTTCTTTCTTTTTTTTTTTTTTTTTTTGTTTTTTTTTTTTTTTTTGGTGGTATGGAACTATTGCATGCCAATGTAGAAGCACACCTTAGACGGTGCCGTTTCTTTATTTATTTATTTATTTTTAGTTAATTGTTCAAATGTTCTTCGTTTTTAACATTTAAGCTGACATATGTTAGAGGTGTGCTCGGTTCCAATCGGTTCGAGTTTCTGTCCAAACTGAAAACTAAATTGAAATTTCTGTTCAGTTTTTTTTTTTTTATTCAGTTCGGTTTAATTTGGTTCGATTTCGTTCAGTTTAGTTTTTCTATAAAACTAAATTTTTTTAAATCTAAAAATTGGTTTATGTTCTACAACTTTACTTTTAGTTTTTCCATTTCAAACAAAAGTAAAGGAATAAAAAAAAGAGAAGGAGAAAGAAGATGCAGGACGAAACCAAAAAAAGAAGATATAGGTGAGAAAAAAAAAGAAAGAAAGATGAGGGTCGGGTGTGGAGAAAAAAAAGAACTTTATACGTTAACGGTTGGTTTAAAATAAATGGGGCTTTTAGATTCAGGTCTAAAAACACAGATGATTTTTAGAAGTGAGTCCAATTACTTAAATATATGTATTTATTTTTTTAATGCTCATTTTATATTTTCTAAAAATATTAAAAATCAATTAAAACCTTCTAATATTATGAATTTTCAACCCCAAAAAATATAATTAATATCTTATAACAAAAAAAATAATATATTGACATAAATCTATCTGCAAATCATTATACCCTAACTCAAGTAACAAATATATGAATGTATATCATACCTATAAGTAAAATATGAAACTTAACTAAAAGGTAGAAAAAACATAATACGTCTACAAGCAAGACACATGAATCTTACTTGATTATAAAAAAGAATATGTCATATAGGTAGATAAATATAATTAACCTATTGTGACATCCCACATTACTCAGGAGAGTGATATTTATATGTATATTTCCATCCCTACCTAGCACGAGACCTTTTGGGAGCTCACTGGCTTCGGGTTGCATGGGAACTCCGAAGTTAAGCGAGTAGCGCGCGAGAGCATTCTCAGGATGGGTGACCCATCGAGAAGTTCTTGTGTGAGTTCCCAGAAACAAAACCGTGAGGGCATGGTCTGGGCCCAAAGCGGACAATATCGTGCTACGATGGTGGAGCAGGCCCGAGAAGTGGTCCCTCGGGCAGGGATGTGACAATTTGGTATCAGAGCCTAACCTTGGTCAAGTGTGTGCCGACGAGGATGTCGGGCCCCTAAGGGGGGTGGATTGCGACATCCCACATCATCCAGGGAAATGATCCTTATATGCATATTCTCATCCCTACCTAACACGAGACCTTTTGGGAGCTTACTAGCTTCGGATTGCATGGGAACTCCGAAGTTAAGCGAGTAACGCGCGAGAGCATTCCCAGGATGGGTGACCCATCGGGAAGTTCTCGTGTGAGTTCCTAGAAACAAAACCGTGAGGGCGTGGTTGGGGCCCAAAGCGGATAATATCGTGCTACGGTGGTAGAGCGGGCCCGGGAAGTGGTCCCCCCGGACGGGGATGTGACACCTATGATATAGGTTGATTATAAAAATAAAAACTCAAATCTATAAATGGGGTTTTAAAATGGGATAAAGAACAAGAAAGAACAAAATAAATAAATAATCAAAGAGATAATTAGGAAGAAAGTTGATTTTTATAATAAATCTTATCATTTAAGAGATAATTATTGATAATAAAATAATAAGATTTAAGGAATTGGACTTATTTTAATAAATTGGACTATTCCTGGCTCAAAAAATTCAACCTATATCAAGTTTCCCCTAAAATAAAAACATAAAACTTGGGTTTAAATTTAAAATTGGACTTGGAATATCAACACTCAATGGTAAATAAATAAATAGAATAAATATATTTAATTTAGTTATGTTCAGTTTTTTTTTCAGTTTCGATATTCGGTTTGGTTTTTTTTTTCTTCGGTTTTTTCAAACCCACCCCTATGTTACGTACCTGAAATAGAAAAAAGATGAATAATGAAGTCCAAGATAGGGGTACATAATTATTTTAGTAGGACGAACACATTGTTATTGTAACATTTTATGTCAATAATATCATGCTCTGTGTAAGTTTATTGTCACATGACATTATATTATCTCTTGACGTCACCTTACTATAAAAGTTGCTCTCCAATTCAAGAAATCCTCCGCTTAGCGAGATCTAAATGCTAATTAGGGGTGATTCGGTATGGGATACCATACCGAAACTAGTATCCCGAATCCTAAACCGAAATTTTTCGGGATGGGAATTTGAAGATCAATCCCAAACCAAATTTTCGGGAATCCCGAAATATTTTCGGGATTTTGGGACAAATCGGGAATCCCAAATTGAAATATGAAATTATGAATTGTTCTTCAAATATATAATTCAAGAACACATTTATGAACTAGGAATTTCATTTCATTCACACTACCATTTAATTGAACACTGGCATGCTTGACTCTTTTTATCATAGTCAAAATTCAAATTAATTAAACTCTTTTTGCAATCTGTTGAGAGACAAAAGAATCAAGCCTTCTGAAATCATCAGCCATGGCAGCAGCAATAATAAAATCCACAAGAATATCAAACAGAACATGAAAAATATGCAAGGTGTAGGGCATTCTAGGTTGCTGAGCATGAATTAGAAACTACTAGCATCAATTATAAAAGAATAATATATATATGTATAAATATATATAATAATTAATATTATATATTTTCGATTTGGTATGGGATTCCCGAAATATCGAGAAGTCAATCCCGAATCCCATACCGAAATTTTGGGATTGGTTCGGGATAGCATCCCGAAAATTTCGGGAATTTCGATTTGGGAAATTTTTGGTTTGGGATCGGGATTTTTTCGGTTCGGTTCGAGATTTTCGGGAATTTTTTCCACCCCTAATGCTAATCCATCTCAAAAATATGTCTACCACTCTACCTTATGGGTTGATTGTGGTGAACAAAAAGAATATTTGCCCAAATATCTTTTCTTTTACAAGAAATAAAGGAACAAGATTTTTATGTATCACTGTTTGATTTTTCCTATTACATAATATGGAATTAACTTGGCTCCTTAAGATTGAGGACGTGTTTCTTCTCAAGATACTTCGTGGTCAGTTTTCGGAATTTTATGCCTATAATCAAAATCGTTCATACTATAATTATTCAGTAAAGATCATTTCTACAAAAAAAAAAAGTATAAAATGAGATTTTTTTAGTCATCGAACTGTTTAAAACATATGCACAGATCCAATAAAAAAAATTACAAACCATCTATCTATTTGCTACAATTAATTAACTAAATGACCTTATTTTTAATTAATTTTTTACATAGATAATCATTGCAAAATAATTTACAACATAAACGATTCTGACCTCAAGCACGAAGTTTAGTAAATCAGTCACATACTATTTTGAGGAGGAAGTGAATCACAACCATCTAAATATGCAAAGAAGAATCACTTTTTTTTTCTGCAAATTTGATGCCAAGAACTCAAAAGCTTTCCCTTCAAGTGTTACATTATTGGTATCTAAATATACCTCAAATCTCAATCGCTTTTTACTCTTTAATGGTACACCACTGCCATCTCCCTCCCTCTCACTTTCTGGAAGAAGAAAGATGAAGGGTGAAAAAACCTTGAACTCAAAGTCAACATCTAGTCAAGTGTGTACATTAACAAGCAAAGTGAAGTGTATAATTGAACCCTAATAATGGTTGTACCATTGGCAGAGCATCTTTTTTGAGGTACTAGCAAAGCATCTTTTTTCTCAAAGAATAATGCTTGGGTGTTTGAAAGAAAAACAGCGAATTCTGTCAAAAACTCAATTGAAAATGGACAAGTTCATTTGTTAGTTTTCAATTCTGTAATCATTTTGTCACGTGTCGAGTTATGATTGGGCATTTGTTCATTTTAGGAAGACTTGCTGCTCTTCTTTCAGCAGCCAAACATTATTCTTTCTTAAATGTGCCATCAAATACTGCATATGGTTCCTGTTTATAGTACACTTTTTATTATAATTGTAGTGACTTTAGAGATGGTCGTTTGGTACCCATTTAGAACAAGACATGTCTTAAACAATATGTTTGCAGAGTTTATGATTAGTGGAAAGACCATTTGTTATTGCTTCTAGAAGAAACACTTTCACTCATAAGCGTTATTACTAGCAATGGTTTTGTTGGGAAGAGGTCTTCCTCGAGAATCATCTAACATAGTCAGATGAGATTCTATGACCCATAAGCTATTGTTTTTAAGTTTTTCTTCTAAACATAGCCAGAAGCAATTTTTTGGTTGTCAGAAACCGCTCTTTTAACTCTTGCATAAACCGTCTCAAACATGCCTAATTATCAATATATTTTGCGTTTGCTGCATCAAATTGTACGAATGCATATGTAAGTGTAGGATCAATGGTGATCTCTGAGTAGCACTATGTTCTGCCACTTGTGTACAGAAGCATCAAGAATAACAGCAACAGATAGTGGAACTCGAAAGATGATCGATTTCATTTCACCAGTGAATATGAATCCCTGACAGTAGAGAAGAAGAGAATCCAGTTCGTTGATGGCTAATCGAAACCAACCAAATGTGACACAGGGGACACACATATAGGTCCCTCTTCTTTCATTTCACATTTAACATCGGTCGATAGAATGATCACTCTTAAAGTCTCTTGACAGAAACAGGTTTTGGCTCTCCTCCAATGAATTTCCATTTGATGTGAAATTTCATGTACTTGTAATACCACCCATCCATTGATGTCCCTACTCAGCATAATTATCTTCCCTACATGATACATGAATGAGATAGCCACATTGATGCTGATTCCAGATCTATCAATCAAATCAAGCACGTAACTCTATCAATCATATCACCAAGTTTATACAACCATGTGTTTATCTCTCTCATCACGTCCTAACTGGCTCAGTTTAGCCAGAGCTAGGATCTATCGAGATTTGGAGATTCCTATCTTGTCAAAAATCACTTTGCGATGTTTAATCTTGCCTTAAAATGGTGTATTATAAGATCCGACGCAGGCCAATAGGCCATCTAGAGCTACAAAAATGGAAGGTGGAGTAAAGGGTGTTGAATATCAAGCCCAGCCAAGAGATGCTTACAAGATTGCTTACATTATTCATTTCTTGCTGGGAGCAGGCAATTTGCTTCCTTGGAATGCATTCATCACCGCCGTTGATTATTTCGGGCATCTCTATCCCACCAAGCATGTTGAGAAGGTCTTCTCTGTCGCTTACATGAGTTCTTCGGTACTCGTATTGCTTGTGATGATGACATGGAGTGGCTGGTGGGAGAAGATGAGTCCTAGGCTGAGACTCAACTTGGGATTTTCTCTGTTTGTTCTCTCGTTAATGGTGGCTCCAATTACGGACTGGCTTTCGCACAGTTCTGCGTTGAGTAGTGGGAGAGCTAATGCAGGTTATGGCGTCACAGTTGCATCAGTTGTAGTGTGTGGCTTAGCTGATGGCTTGGTAGGAGGAAGCTTGATGGGATCCGCCGGCAAGCTTCCGAAAAAATACATGCAAGCTGTTTTTGCAGGAACCGCTTCTTCAGGTAACTATAAACTACGTACACAAATTTACGCCTTCATGCTTTACATTTCCAATCCAACATTGTTCTGATCCGTGCAGGACGTCATGTCTTTCTTAAATACATAATGTATAAAAATAGGACACATTGAGAAAACCTCACTTCTGATTGTATTGGCAGGTGTGATAATTTCTCTGCTGAGGATTTCAACCAAGGCGATGCTTCCACAAACCCCGAAGGGACTACAAACAAGCGCGCACTTGTACTTCATCGTCAGCACCATGTTCCTCCTGTGCTGCATCCTCGCCTGCAACTTGTTATACAGGTTGACAGTCATGCAGGAACACTGCAGGCTTGCTCAAGAAGAACCTTATTGCGCAAGACCAAAATTTTGGGACGTGGCGCGAAAAATCCCCGTGCCAGCTTTTGGGATTTTCGTAACCTATACAGTGACTCTGTCGATTTTTCCAGGATTTATTGCCGAAGATCTCGAATCCAATCTTTTTCGAGATTGGTATCCTATTTTGCTGATCACAGTGTACAATGTTGCAGATTTAGTGGGAAAATCATTGACTGCAGTATATCTTCTAAAGAGCATTAAAAGGGCAACTTTGGCTTGCATTGCAAGGCTCCTACTTTATCCAATCTTCACCGCTTGCCTCCATGGACCGCCATGGCTGAAAACTGAAATTCCAATGGGGGTTCTCACATTTATGCTTGGATTGACCAATGGGTATCTGACAAGTGTTCTCATGATGACTGTTCCGAAAACTGTGCCGGCTTCTGAAGCGGAGCTATCTGCCATTGTCATGGTGGTGTTCCTTGGAGTTGGCTTGGTTAGCGGCTCGGTTCTCGGGTGGTTCTGGATTTTATGAGGTTCCTTTGTTAGAAATGTCAATGTATGTAAGCTCGTGTCTCTGTTAGAAGTGTTTTCGTAGTCCGATTACTTAGCCCTGGTGTGTAATTCCGTAGTTCTGCTCTATTGAATCGAAAACTTGCCTCTGCCACTTTCCAAGATTTATTTACTTCACTCAAATGAACTCAACTACCTCGAAATTTTGATAACTCAACTCCCGAACGGGACTATATATGTCAAGTAAAATACAAGAAATTTTTATGACAAACTTGATGAGTTCTTCTTGTTGACAAGATGTGCTAAACGCTCGACGCGGTGAGCTTCTTGGCATGTTGTCAATCCCTACAATGTCATAACACCACTCAAAAGCCATGAGCTGAACCCTTCAGAGTTTTGCAGGCACCATGCTCGGCAAAACCATCTGCTGCTTTAGACACGATAAACTAGTCAAATTCACCATTCTCCACCACCTTTTGCTGAACCCTTCAAGCAATCTGCTGCTTTAGTTCTGTTTTTCGAGTGAGGGAGACGATGGTGAAAGCATTCATACTCCGGATGTGGTCAATCGTCCTTCAAAAATGACGACAGCGAGGCGTTTTCCATTTTTTCGGGTTTGATTAAGAACTCGATTTGTGCGTTTTATTGTGTTCTCAAAACTCAATCTCTACTTAGGTTAGTTTGGTATTGATATGCTTTGAACAAAAACTTCTGCTGTACGGTAAAAGTAAGCAGCTATGAAATAAATCAGTAAAGTGTTTGGTAATGATAATTGTAAAAGTGCTTTTAGTTCCGGCGATCTGGAACCTTCATCCTCACTCCCATTTCTATTTCCTGGATTTCGATTTCCAGGGCATTAAATGTTTTAGAAGGTGCGGTGGTGGATGGGTGGGTGGGATTTGGGTTATCATCTAGCAGGGAGTGGGTTGGGATCATGGTCTGCGACGTGGCGATGGGTGTATTTGGTGGGGATTGGGAGAGAGATGGGGTGGCGAATATGGGGAGTAAGAAGAGATGGAGGGGATGGGGTGGTGAATCTGGGTAGTACGGCATCAGAGAGCAACTAGAGAAAGGAGGGTGGAGTTCAGAACTAGGATGAAGGAGAAAGAGAGGGTAAGGTTGCCATTTTAAAAAATTCATTTAATAACACTGTTCACCTCTGTATTTTGATAAAAGGCTGATTTTGCTGCTTTACCTTTTTAGTTTTTTTTTTTTTTTTTCATTCAAAAGTAAGAAGAAAAAAATGTTGATTTTAAAAGTTTACCAAACACATAAAAAACTGGAAGCTTTTTTTCGTACCTGCTTTTTTTTAAAGTTAAGAAGTACTAAACTTGTACTAAATCTTTCTAGCGTTCATGCTTGAATTCGATTCATACTGAAATTCGAAGGGAATTGGATTCAAACCGAAATCCGAAAGGAACCAACTATTGAATCCTCTCCTTCAAGCTAAGATCAATATAGTTCTGAATCAAATCGAAAATTTCAATTAAGGGTTGTTGCAGAGAGAGTTATGCCTTCAAAAATTTCCATTCCATAACTTATTTTTGTTACATTTCTTTTTACAAAGATTTGAGTAGAAAAGATGTTGACAACAAAAACAGAGCTATCAGTTAACATAACCAACCCAACCCAATTTATCACGAAAGCAGCAGCATCCAAAGTATCACCCAAAAAGGTTAAAACTTTATACAAACAAAAGGTCAGCCTCTGAACATGTAGATACACATATCTCTACGTATCTATGCAGCAGCAGCTAATGGAGGTGGTACGGGAGGAATTCCATGAAACAAATTGGTTGCCGAAGCCCTGTTATTCGCCCCTTCTTTCACATTCTCCTCCTCGTCTTCCTCTTCGTCTTCCTCCTCCTCCTCCTCCGAATCCCAGAGGAATTTCGCATATGATGCTAGAACATAACTGCAAACCATCAAATCATATAACACTGTCAGTACAATTGATTAGCAAAACGTACCAGCATGTTATCGATACATTATATAGACAATACAGATACAATATCGACGGCGCATTACCTATCATCAGGGGCAGCTTGAACAGCTTGATCAAAGTAAGACTGAGCTCTGGGAGCATCCTTATGAATCTGCCATACCAAATCCGCAAACATTGACAGAACATTTCCGTCGTTCGGGCCCGCCAGAATTGCTCTCCCGCAGTATTCTTCGGCTTTTTCGAAATCCCCTCGAACCTGTAATTTTTGTCATCACAAAACATCATTAGCTTCAATAAAGATTCAATCTTTTGTACTTAAATTTAAAGATTTTGGTATAAATTTGCATACGTCTTTCAAAAATCGAGCATAATTGCTAAGGAGCATGGGATTTCCAGGATTAGCGTCGATCATTTTCTGGTAGTACGCATCAGTGCTCGCACCGCCTTGATTCGATTCCCAAAACCCATTGCTCCCACCATCTCCTTCGTCCGATCCACCACTCCCTCCGCCATTACCACCGCAGATCTTGCCGCCTCCTCCACCAACGCCACTCCCATCCAAAACGCTCAGCAACCCCCTGTTCTCCCTCGTCCCCTCCTCACACCCCTCAAACTCCGGCAATCCCAACGACGCCGTTCCGCCAAACCCAGAAGCAGCAAAGCCCATCTCCATCTTTATCTCCTCTTCCTCCTCCTCTCTCTCCTCAAACCCATTTAACGGGTTGCTATAGGCCTTTCTTCTCGGCGACGCAACTGAGAAATCTCTGAGATCGTCCGCGGAGACCGCCCGGGTCAACCTCCTCATCGAGTCGCTGATCGGCGACAGCAAAAAGGGCGACCGCGACGACGCCGAGAGGATAACGGAGCGAGTTCTCGAAATTTGCGGGACCATTTCCGGCTGCTGATCGGAAAATGTCGAGTCTTTGGAATGCGGCAGCAATGAATTGAGCACCGGCGTCGATGAGCTCCGTAGAAGCATTTTTCCTTGATATAATCTGCGTCTGAGAAAAAACCCAAATCTCAGACTCCTTTGAAAACCCTAAAATTCCAAAATTCGAACAGAAAGATTGAAACTTTGAGGGGCAGAGAAATCAGGGTTTGTGAAGGAAATTGAGAATTTTGCAGGTGGGAGGTGTGGATGGACGAAAAAGGACTTTATGGGGAGGTAATATATAGGAGGAGGGAAGGGCGTTGGTAGGGATGAGATCTCAGCCGTTGATTCTCTGCTTACAAAGTGGAGTGAGATGGGATGGTTTGATACTTTGAGGCACGTGGTTTAATTGGCAATTGGGGTCTAGGACGCGTTTGGTAGTATGGCTTGGGTAAAAGCAAAAGCCGAAAAGGGCTTCTGCTTTTAGGCTTTTGAATTTTGATTTGCTTGGTCAGATCCTCAGCGCAAGAATAGCTCAATGGAAACCCTAAAAAAGTGTGGCTTGATCCTCCTCCATAGTCTCTAATCAAAGAACGTATAAATAAGGAAAGAGGGAAAATGGAAAAGTCTATGCGCCTCATTTTGCTAACTCCAGATTGTGAAGGTTAATTTTGGAAAATGATACTAAAATCAGTAGGTACAAGAATTAGGAAACTTGCATATTTGTGTTTATAGTAAGAGGGGTAAATTCGACATAAATTGCAGGTGGCTCTGTGGTTGATGACGAATTCAGGCTCGTATTCTACATGACATGTCCTGGTCTCTAGAGAAGATTGAAATGTTTTTGTTAGTCTTCCCTTAGTGTAATCGCACATTATTTTTTCAATATTGATAGAGATGCCAAATTTATTTGATAAATCTCATGTCAATGTTCAATTCATTTGAATAAGGAAAAAGGAAAAGTCCATTTGGTATGCGCCTGCAATTGCTACATTATTTCAAGCTTAATTTTGGAAAAAGATTGCTAAAATTATTAGGTACAAAAATTAGGAAAGTTGCATAATTTTGTAATTTATAGTGGAAGTAAGAGGCGACCAATGGCCTTTTTTACATTCCATTTTGTTCCTCGCAACCACCAATGGTATGTTCGTTTGAGGTGATGGATAACCAAAGGTCCAAATGAGAAATAAAGGTCAAGAAAACCTAACAATCTATTCTTGTACATCATCAACTTGTTCACGACAATCACAAAAATTATTGTGTGCTACTAAAAGTTTGGATGTAGTTGCATTATAGTTAGTTTATGTATTATAATATGGTGGACGACATTGTCTTTGTTCTTACCTTTGTTATTGCCATTCTTCTTCTCAAACGGGTGGACTTGCACAAAAAAATATATATATATATGTTGTTCAAAGTGATTAGTAAGGGCAATTTCACCGCTCTTGCCCTTGTCTTGCCCTTGCCCCCCTAAAACGGGTGGACTTGCTCTTATTAATACTTTCGTAGTTTAAGTTATAGTATCAATAAATATTCATTCATCTTACATAAACGAGTTATAACATGTGATCGTATTAGTACCACACAATAACACTATTCCACAATCACAAACCATGTTCTCGTTTAAAGAAAAAGGTACGTTCAATAGTACATTTATTTCCAATGATACTAAGTACGTCAAATTTGTTTATCAAATGATACGTCAATAACTGATTGATTTAAACTCCACATTTTAAACTTTATTCATTACTAACAAATAAGATAATGACATGTACGCTAACACATCATTAAGTGAACAAATTTGATAATTCTATCATCTCTAATTATAAGAGATCTCGTATTTGAATCACTCCTCTGATATTGATTAAAGAATTTGAGAAAATAGAATGAGAAGTCAATCAAGTACCCCTAATAATTTGATTTTAGATTAGAAATTTGGGAATGACTACAACACTCATATGTATTGCATACAATCATTATTTGACGGTCATATTATGTATTTAATACAATCACAATCTGACCGTTAAGATGGTGATTCTATTAAGTACCTTAAGTATTGTAGCCAAATCCCGAAATTGGGTTCATCTAACAATTTGTTGCAAAACAACTTCATGTGACTGTCTACCAAAAAAATGGGTAGCACCAAATAATAGGCTAATCACATTGTGCTATGGAAAATGACTGACTTTGAACGAACTATTTGAACAAAAGCATGCAAATCATATTTTGATTAAAAGAATATCGAATGGATATCCTCTCGTACTTTTGTGTTTAGAGCAAGCGGAATTAAAGATTCGGACCACACATTTTAAATCTTACAGACACTATTAGCATCTTCATAACTTATCTCATATAAATTAAAAGTCCAAATCTCTCTCCTTAGAACGGTCCTCATCTCTAAGTCCACTGGCTTCAAACTTCGAGATCTGAAGATGATCTCGGTTCGTATTTTGGGCAGTGTCTAGCCAAATCTTAAAAATAAACGTTCTTTTCCCATAAACAAACACGTCCTACCAAAGCAAAGTAGGCTTCTCCGTAAGCACGCGGGAGGAAACCCAATTGCCCACTTCGCATGCAACCTACTTTAAATCAGAACCGTTAGATTTGACGCATGGAGGATCGGACGGCTGGATGGACTCTCGTCACGTGATTCTTTTCCCCTCGCCCAAACAACCGGCATTTCTTGGCGCCTTCGATAAAGTAATCGCATGCTTTATTGCGGGTAAATAGTTTTGTCCCCTAAAAGCCCCTTGTCTTACTCAAATTCACGATTTTACCACTGGAACTGTTTAGTGGCCAGGCTTTGCTCGAGCTGGGACTAGTAATATTGCATCCTAGGTGGAGCCCATGGGCCGCCACCGACTGGTTGAACGGTAGAGCTGTGCCGTAGAAGGCCTGGTCATGGCGTCATAGTGGGCCTCGCAAATTGGCCGTATTTGTGTCGTTTTCGTATTATTTCTGTTATCTTAATGAGTCGTGTCATGTTAAACATGTTATCTTAACGGGTTTTTAATAGGTGACTCAAATCCGATTCATTAACAGGTCATGTCGTTTCGTGTCAAGTTAAATGGTCATATAAGAAATTGTAATACCTAAAGTCTATATATGTCAAACGATATCTTATAACGGGTGACATAATAACGACTCAATAGGTTAACGTGTTCTTAACGGGTTACTTGATAACAACTCGACTCGTAACAAGTTGACCTATAATATGTTATTTTTAAATTATTTTGTGTCAAATTAACAAGTTGTGTAAAAAATTGTCAAGACTAAGTCACAGGCATTACTTACGGATGGTTCAGCCTATTTGTTTGGTGGGATCCCATGAAAGAACCTTATTTGTCACGGTGCGGCCTACTTGCTCCGTCAAGGGTAAATTTATCATTTGAAGATGGGGAAGATATTTTGTATCTCCTGTGTGTTTATCATCCGTCATTTCATTCTTGTTTGGTTTCGAGTGTTTTGACAAATCTTGCTTCGTCTTTATGTGAATGATTAATACAACAGAAGCAAATATGTGTGCGTTAAGAAAGTTTTTAGTTTTCAGTTTTCACTACTTGATGTTGAGAGAAGCAAATATGTGTGCGTTAAGAAAGTTTTTAATTTTCAATTTTCACTAATTGATGTTGAGAGAAGCAAATATGTGTGCGCCGCACATAGAAAAGTCTTCAATTTGCAATTTTCACTAGTTATTATCAAGGTAAATATGTGCGCTTTGTACGTGTTTTTTAGTTTTTGGTTTTCACCTGTTGAAAGTGACGGGATTGCAAGTAAATCTGGCATTTTGGACCCGATCCGTTAACCCGATCCGATCCAATCCGTTAATATTAGTATTTGGCTGGATGCTTAACAGGTCGAGTCGCTAACGGGTGAACCCGTTAAATAACATGTCATTTTGGATCAACCTGTTAGCACCCGTTAGTTGAGGATGTTTTAGTAATTTCAGTAAAGTCTTAATAACAAAAAATAAACTATGCAAAAAAAAAAAAAAAAATAATAATAATAATAATAATAATTCTTAACAGGTGTTAACGAGTGAAACGGGTTAGATTCGGATGACCCGTTAAGCTTAACGGGTTAGGTCCGAATGATCTGTTAACTTAACAGGTCGGATTGAACCCGATTCAAACCCAACAAACCCGATCCGTTTACAGGTCTAATTGCGGGGAGAGGTTGTATTTGTATATGTACGTCAGGTGTGGTGTGCGGCCCTTGTTGCTACAAAGTTTTATAAGTCATATGAGTCAACGAGGGTCCAAAATTATTAGGTCAAATATGACTCTTCTACAATACTTACCCATGCAGTTGTGCTAGGGTTGTTTGCGTGCATGGCGCGATCATAGCCGTTGATTATATGGGTAGAATTGACAATCATTATCAATCCAAACCTAACAAACCTGACCCATTTACAGGTCTAATTGCGACGAGAGGTTGTATTTGTATATGTACGTCAGGTGTGGTGTGCGGCCCTTGTTGCTACAAAGTTTTATAAGTCATGTGAGTAAACGAGGGTCCAAAATTATTAGGTCAAATATGACTCTTCTACAATACTTGCCCATGCAGTTGTGCTAGGGTTGTTTGCGTGCATGGCGCGATCATAGCCGTTGATTATATGGGTAGAATTGACAATCATTATCAATTGTTGTGTTATCTTAGTGGCATAATCTTTCGTTAACCACTAACATAGGAAGTTCTGATCGTTCCTAACACACACACACACGCACACACTTTTCTAACATGAATACATGCATGTAACTCTCAACCGTTAATGTATTGTACGCCTTACTTAATTTAAGGGTTAGGATTCATCCGCGTGGTCATGGGCGATATTACCTTGATGAATTTTATTATATAACTGTATGGTCATTTAGATTTATTTAACTTTTATGTGATAAACCACAACTTTAGACTTATTTTAACTTTTATGTGATAAACCACAAAGAAATAAAAGAATTGTATTTTATATGTGAAAGATGCATAAAAGGGACAGAGATCCCAACTGGATCTCCCCCATTAAGTTCTAAGGATTCGAAGATCTAGACCGTTGAAATTTGATCAAACGGCTACAATTATTATCACTTTTAGAAGGGCAGCCGTTGGATTAAATTTCAACGGTCTGGATTCTTAATTAGGATTTGGTGGGGTGAGATCCAGCTGGGATCTTTGTCCCATAAAAAGGACGATCTCAGACCAACAAGACTTCCTACTTTGCGATGATCGATAAGGAATGTCTATCGTACGCAACGTTACCCTTACTTCGCAAATATGCTATTTTCACCTGTGA